TATTTATGTGCATAGTGGTGAGCACGCTTTTCATCTAGTGCTTATCCCCACCTGCTCTTTACCGATGCAGGTTAAGAAGGAGCTGGGTGACGAGAAGAGGCGAGTGGGTCGGTTGTTTTTATTTGTTTATCGCTTCCGTATGAATAAGGTTTTATGAAGCATTATGTTGGGACTTGATTATGATATTTTCCAAAAACCTATGGTTTGTTGTTTTGAAAAAAATTGTGGAACCCGGATTGTTGGGTATTATGGTTGATGATATATGCATGTTGAGTTTTATGTCTCGTGATGTGTTTCGGTTAATGAAAACCGTTTGTGAAAACAGGGTAATGAATCCCCGTGAACCCAGATAAGACTTGGGTTATGAAAAATGTTGTTTAACACCCATTGAATTTTCGAAAATGATTTTGAAAATTTTACACTGATATTTAGAAAGTCCGGAATTTCTTTAAAATCAAAGTGGGGTGTTACAGTTTGATAGTATTTTTTTTATCTATAAAAACCAAATTAGAAGAGGAAAAATTGATTGTAGTCAAATTCTTCGGTTTTCAATTATTGTCGGATTTTAAGTCCGATTTCGGTTCCGTAAAATTTATTTTCTTCTCAATCCTTTTAGTTAGCATCAAAACCAAAGTTGATAAATTTTGTTCAGCTATTTTAAGTGCCAAAACCGAATCCATACTCATGCATGAGTTAGAGAACCATGTTACTCTCTTTTGGCATCATGTGTTGGTAAAATATTAGTTTTTGGTTTAGATGGGATCTAGATCTTATGTCCCCTCTCATCATGTTCTTGTGTTTCATTCCTTAGCTATATTAGACCATTAAAAACCTGAAATAATAGAGCAAATAGTGTTGTGTGAGTATAACCATATGGGTTGAGAGTGGTTTGAGCTAATTTGCTTGGGTGAAAATGCATGAGAAGTCAACAACATGTGGAAGCAAGTGAGGCATGTGCAATTAGCATTATTTCTAATGCATGTGTAAGAGTTTGTCTTTATCTCACCAAATGTTTGACTAAACCATGTTCCACACTTAATTAGATGCCCGACCAAGCATCATTTAGTTCAGCTAATCAAGCCTAATTATCAAGATTCTTGGTCCCAATCCACCTAAGTCAACTCTAATACACCTCATGCACATGGAGATCAATTATCTTGCCTATTATTTTTCTATCACCTTGTTTTATATGAACCACATCATATATTTCGGTATATTAGTTGATAATAGTCATAAATCACTTTCAAAACTTGAGCAAATAGAGAGAAAACCGAGTTCAATCAAGGAAGGGATAGAAGGGGAAGAACCTAACAACACTTCTTTCATTTATCCTGATCATTTTCATTTCCTTGAAAGAGGTAAGGTGCCTCTGTTATGATATTAAGAAATTATTTTCTGAAAATGTGTTCTTAATATGAAATGTTGTTCGTCCTGTTATCTTTCTCTAGGCTTTGGAATTTCGATAATCCGATTAATATTGATTGAGTTATGATTTTTACAAATTTATCATACAAGCAGTTTTTCTGGACCCGGCAGCATGAGTTTATATAATGTTTGGCCTGTTTATAGTGTCATAATGTGATCTAGTGAATTTATAGTCTTCATGAAAGTTATAGGGCTGTTGATTATCTTTCTAATGAGATAGGATTCATGTTAAGGTAATATCTATAGCTCGAGTTGTGTTCATATGATTGTAGATATACATGAAGTAGGGTTTTACACTTTGACAGAAAAT